AAAAAAAAAAAAAAAAAGTTATGGAGTCCCTTTCATGTAGAAGACGGGCTAGTAAAGCTACCTGCACAGCTAGTCTGCAAAGGCAGCTTTGCTCTGTCACTCAGTAAACTAAAACCAGCAGAAGTCAAATGGTTGAACCTCCTCTACAACAGACATCAGATAACTGCCTTTCAAGGTCAGGAATACAAACAATTTCTCAATTTATTTTCTTTTGGAAGGAAATTATAGCAAGTTGTGGATGACATAAGTTAAGAAGGCCAAAGAAGTACCCTTAAAAATGCTAAGTGACCTAGTATTTACAGAATAAGAGGTTCAAAACATAGAATTTGTCTGGAGTAGTGAGCTTACGGTCAAAATTAAGAAAAGAGGTCACAGAGGCTGGAGAGATGGCCCAGCGGGGTAGGAGCACTGGCTGCTCTTTCAGAGAAACTGGATTCAAACCCCAGCACCACATGGCAGCTCACAACAGTCTGTAATTCAAGTTCCAGATGATGTCTTCTCAAGTCTGAGGGCACCAGGCATACAAGAGGTACACAGACCAATGCAGGCAAAATATCCACACACCTAAAGTAATAATAAATAATTTTTTTAAAGGCACCCATCTGCCAACTAAAAAGCGAAGAACAAAATTAAATGTAAGGAGATGTTTAATGTAACGTATGTGAAGACTAACGACAGCAAAATACTAAAAACCTGAAAAAAAAATCAAATTGCTGGGAAAGCCAGGCGAGAACTAGCTCTGAACCAGGGTTTAGTATCTTATGTCACTTGTCCATTGGTGACTAAATCGCATTTTAGAGATTACACATATTCATATGTAGGCTAACACAAATACAAGCAAATTTGTTCAATTTTGTTTAATTTGTACCTTATATGAGAACCAAAGTTAATTTGATAGAAATTTCATTTATGTTATTTAATGCATGACATGTATTGCTGATAAAAGATTATAGTGAACCTCAAGGATTATGTGAAAGACAATTTAATATTTTTTAAGGTTAATATTTACTAGGAAAAATGGACTCATTTCCTTTTCTTTCATCTGCTATGTCAATTTATTGCCTAAAGCTCTAAGTACATCATTCTTCCTATAGATAAGAGTGACTATAGATACATCACTGGTTCTGTGGTTTGCAACACGAGCAAAATTTTCATTCCCACTCATAACCACACCTCTGTGACATCTGACTGCTGGACATTGTACAATGGTTCGATAGTGTTAATAAGAAAGTTTTCTATTCAAGTAGGTACAGTATATTACAGATCGTATATATTAAGAGTATATTACTTAATATATCATTAAGTCTTTAACATGATTTGTCTAACACTAAAAAAAAAACACTTTATCAAACCCTAACTAAACTTCCTTACTTCTGAGAATTAAAGCTTAATATTAACTCAAATGACTATAACAGGATTTCCTCCCCCCCCCCCCCCCCCTGACAGTGTTTCTCTGTATATCCTTGGCTGTCCTGGAACTTGATCTGTAGAGACCAGGCTGGCCTCGAATTCAGAGATTCATTTGTCTCTGCCTCCCAAGGGCTGGGATAAAGGTGTGCACCACCACTGTCCAGCTATAGCTATATATTTTAAAACACCAACTGAAAAGAAAATTTCTTTTGTTACTTAGTAAGTCCTCTTAGAAAAGAACCCAAGTACCATTTGGCTGTTCAGATGCTGTCAACCTTGGCTATCACTGCCATCAACACTTCACAACACAACAGTTCGCTTGCTAATCTAAAATTGCCTCAACTGCACAAACTCCAAGGACACCTTTATTGTGTGAAAACCCACTATATTTTCAAAACAGCTGGGGAACAGAAAGGAACATGTTATTTCAAAGAAAAGAAACATTCAAGGACTGCTAAACAATGGGCTGGAACTAAGGAGCAAGGATTTAGCTTATTAGTAAAGAATTTGCTAGAATGTGTGAGGTGAGATGTTCAATCCCCAGCACTGAGGAAAACAACAAAAACCCAAAACCAAACCAACAAATATGAAGAGCACAAAGCAACAGTCTGGTATGGTCACATAAATTCAAATAACTAGCTCAATCTTAACTTTGTATCAAAGAGGCACTTGCCTTCCCTGGCAGCACAAGGACTAGGATAGCAACTATAAACTAGATCTTGAAACATATTAACCATGTAGACAACATCATAACACTTAACTACTACAACACAAAAGAAATTGTTATTATGGGTAATCTATTTGAAATACATTCCAAATACAGAAATTTTAAACAAAAGGAAAAAAAAATCTTGTAAAAATTCTCCTAGGTACCCAATGACTATTTCTCATGCAGTTTCTGCTTTAAAAAAAAAAAATAGCTAGAGGCCGGCAAGATGGCTAAGTGCATAAAGGCACTCCACTTTCAAATCTGATTGCCTGAGTTCAATCCCAGAGACCAACATGAAACAAGGGCAGAAGTGACTTCTGCAGATTGTACCCACTGTCTTCTACCTCCCAAAAAGTGCTATGGCAGTTGTGTGTGCCACCCACTAAGTAAATGTAATAAAACAAACAAAAATGACTATAAGCTATTATTTTAGGTCATTGTGTATATTAACACTCCTACAATAATCAACAGCAGAAGAAATTTTGAGGCTGCAGCAATACCCTCTGCACAAGAACAACAAATTCATTCTCTAAATATGAAAATAAATGAGAAAACAAAAATTAAATTTAATGTAATAAAATAACTATGTATGAGAAACAATCCTAGTAGCTTTACATATTCTCTATCTAGGCCTCTCAACTCCAAAGATTAAGCATTATCCTCCCCCATCATACAGATGAGGAAACCTAACAGACTCACAAAAGGATCCTACAACTAGTAAAAGAATGTAGTCTCCTGGATTTTCATCAGTTCTTCCCTGCAAAGAATTCATGAGACCTGAAAATATCATTGCATAAATTACCAGTTAATTATCAGGTTCTGAGAAATATGCTAGGCAATGTATAAGAACTTCACAGAAGAGCTAAGGGAACTGATCTTCCAAAGCTATGTACCACATTTAAAAAAATAATAACACACAAGCAGATTACTTCTTGATCCAAATTAATGGAACTATTTCACTTCGGTATCTACTTGCATTATTTTAATATGGCAGATTCCTAAGATACTATAGACTTTTCCGACCCTGAAGAAATAGTCTCTCAGTCAAAGAGCAGACTTCTCAGTTTACTCTACAAACTAGTAAATCTTAGAAATGGGGTGGTCTGTAGTCATTATATTATAGATTACCAGATTAAGTTACACTTTCCTAAACCCAAAACGGTGGAACTAAAAAGATGAGCACACTACCAAAGCCTGATGCAATTATAAGAAAATTCCCTAAAATATAGCTAAAGATGAAAAATTTTAATAATGTTTGTTCAGTTAAATGTGTAGCTACATGAACCTTACTGAGGCAAGTATTACAAAAAGGGACTTCCAGTTTGATTTGAACCATCTTTTTAATGACACAGTGCTCTTGAAATCAATGACATTTAAATTTAAGGAATTTCTTTAGCTGGGTGGGGGTTTCTCTCCTCTATAATCCCAGCACTTGGGAGGCAGAGGAAGGTGGAATTCTGTGAGACCAGCCTGGTCTACATAGGGAGTTCTAGGACAGCCAAGGCTACAGAGAGACCCTGTCTGGAACACGGTGCCCCCAAAGGTGAGTGGGGGCGAGGGCGGGGGCAGATTCTTTAAACTCACCCATGCCAACTACAACCTTAGTGTTGGGGTATCCTTGTCTGTGCGTATTCATTCATGCTGGAACTTCATTTTTTTCTTCTTCAGAAATTCAACTTACTTAATTAAACCTTACTGGTTTGGAAGATACCTCTTCACCTCTAGCTAGTTTAGAAGGCTTGCTACCTCAGGGCCCAAATAGTAGTAGTCCCAACAGCCAGGCCCAATTTGTTATCTATAAAAGCAAGTTCAAACAACAGTGACACCCTCTTGCACTTAATCACCACAACAAAACCAAACAAACAAACAAAGCAGAAATGAGAAAAAAAACTTCCAACACACAGGGATGGAAAGGGGGGAGGGGAGTGAACCACATCATAACGTCCCTGTAGGACCACGAGCGACCAAGGCTCTGACAGTCATTTAACTTTCTTGCTAATTTCTCCACTGTTTTTTTCTCGCAGCACAGGCTCAACGAGCTGTTTCCTTATCGGCGAGGGTGACAAATCCCCGGAGCGGGGCTACCAGCCCTGGGCATCTGCGCCGGGCCACGGAAAACAGCTACACGAACGGCCCAAGCTCCGGCCCGGCCTGGCTGTGGCTGCTTCTCCCCTCGGTCCTTTCCGGATCTCCGGGGCTCACGAGAGCAGCAGCTGCATCAGGGACGCTCGGGGAACCTGTCCCCAGTCCCCCCGCTAGGCCTCAAGGGGTTGGCGCTGCACATGGCCCCCAGCGGGCCGGCGGGCACGGCGCGGTGGGAGCAGCGGGCGGGCTCGCCACCGAACCCCACGACCCCTGAATGGGTGGCGGGAGGGACGCCGGCTCCTCAGCGCGTCGCTCGCTGGCTGCCTGACTCTCCCGCTCCGTTAGCGCTACCGGTCGGCGGGCGGGGGAGGGGAGTAAGCGCGTTATTCCCGGGACGCCGCGGGGGAGGGGACGACATCGCTTACCCGCGTTACTGAGGAGAAGGAGCAGGAGGAGGCGGCGTGAGCGCGGCGTGGCGGGGCGACGGCGGGGCCGGCTGGTTGCAAGGAAGAGTCTCACGGAAGGGAATTAACCCCATCACCAGCCCGGACACCGGCTCCAGCGGCAGCCCCGGCGGCAGGATCCCGCCCCTTCCCACCACGCACTAGCTCCGCCTCCCCGTTCGCGTTGACGGGTAGCCGGTTCCCTCATACGCTGGGTGAATACTGAGTGACATAATGCGTAACCAATCGTAGTTTGAAAAACCACTTTAGCCCCACCCCGTTATTACTGCAGGGCCGCGGGAGAACTGGGCTAAGTCTATCTCCAGCCCCCCAAAGAGAAAGAACCAATCCTAGGCAAGTGATCGTTCTTGAAGGACGCAATAGACAACCAATGATGAAGCTGGGAGGACAGCCATTTTGCCCACTTGTGAAAGAACCACCTTTTCCCACGAGTAAGGACCGTGAGGTAGTCTAGTTCCGGGAGATTTTAGTCAGTGGATATATTATGGAAGGCAGCTATATTTCTTCAGGGAATATTTGTAGAGCTTCTGAGGAGGAAAGGAGAATTTTGTCCGTCATGTGGGAGATGTGGGGAAGGCTTTAAGGATGTGGCTCCTCCCCTTAGCGGTAACGGGTTCCAAGCGGAACACCTGGTTT